GTTGCCTCATTTCGAAAAGCGGATTATTCGCTGGCCCGTTCATCTTTTTTGATTTTCGCCTCGCGTCGGGGCCGACTCTCTCTCTCTCTCTCTCTCTCTCTCTTCTTTTGATATCGGACTCGATGGCTGCCATTTCTCGCGTGATCGATGAACTCAAACCGATCCTTCTTCCTTCCGACGATGGAGCAACCCCTTCTCTCGCTCTTCGATCGTCGCGACATGGATTCGCACGTTTTTTTCAACACGCCCGTTTCTACGATTCTCGCTTGTCATTGTTTATACGCAACCCCTGCCGAAAGGTGCCAGAGTCCATCGAGGGGGTAAAAATCCGACCTCCGAAAATATGGTAAGCATGCGAGTGCTTGCTATAAAGCTTGCTATAAAAGTCAAAATATAATAATAATAATAGCAATTACTAACGAAAAAAACCCTTTAGTATGTATGACAGAATAAAATCGCAAATGAGCAAACAGAAAAGAAAATACAGGAAAAGAGTAAATGATCTTAATTAAATCATCTTAATATAATTTACTTCAACATTTTTTTCAATGTACGGATTCTTAATTTCAACGTATAATAATGCATTGCGAATCAAATATATAAAATATATTTCGTACAAAGAGAGTTTTTACGCACATTAACATTCTTATTGCAAAAGGTAGCAGATCGCCATCTGCTACCTTTTGTTTTCTCAGCAACAACTGCAGCGTCCGAGTCATTCGTGGAATAACTGAGAAATCGCCGTCTCGCGAGCCGTCTCGGTTCGCTCTTCTCAGTAAGAAGCGACTTGATCTCTCGATATGTCTCGATCGTCGGAAATACTCAATGCGGAATACTATTCGGTGCTTCGAATGTCTCGCGGTCCCCTTCGCCCAGCGCGCGCGCTGCAAAGGTGCCCCCGGCTTTTTTTCCAGTATGAATGATGATGTATGGATGCTGGCTGGGCACCGGGGGCTCGGTAAAGGGTTCCATTGTTGCGCCCTCCCCTGGAGAACGGAACCCACTCGCCCCGCAGGGGAGAGACCTTCGTGAAATATTACTGCCGAGCAACAAACTGCATTCTGCAGGCTGTATACTGTTAATTTTATGCCCGATTTTTTGCCCACTCCACCTAGCCTGCCCTCCTTGGCCCCGCGAGGCCGGCAGCCGCCCCTCGATGTTGCTACACTCACGAGAGCCCGTGATCCGAAGAGCGCCGATATTGTAATAATAAATATTCATCAAATGCTTCTCGGACATTACGGACCTCGCTTCTGCTTCTCAAAGTCGCGTCCGTCCATATCGAGGTGCTCGCTAAATTTCCGATTTCCTCGTCGCACTTTCGCGAATATCGACTCGCAAGAAGATTATGCAAATTTAAATATAGTAAGAATATATTTATAAATAATAAAGTATTTTTGTAACGTACAAACGGTATTTAATTTATCTGCTATTTGTAAGATGCTCAACTTACGACTAATTGAGAAATAAAAGAAGCTTCATCTAAATCTAAAGAGCTTTGCTTGAAAAGATAAGATCTTCATCTATAAATTTTGAAATATATTTTATACTGAAATACTCGATTATTTTTCGTGAGTATCCTCGAAGTATAAAAATTTTAAATAAACGAAGACCGTTCAACCGAAGAATTAATAGACTCGATATCGTTGTTTGATTTATGACTCTGTTTGCTTCACCGACGTGTATTTATTATTTTGTAAATATATTTTTTCATTTCAACTTCGCAAGAATTTCTAGCGTGCGTTTTCTTTCTCCCGACTTTACCAGCCGCAAGTTGCACTGCGAAAAAAACTAGGAGTCTTAACAGCTGAAAAGTTAGTTAATTAATTCCCCATTGTCATATCGGAAGAATGCCTCGCGAATCGCGAGAACAATGCGAGGTCGCAATTAGTAAGTCCCTCAGTAATCGGATGCACCGCGAGCTCACCCCCTCCGCGCGCGCGCGCCCTATGCAAATTCGATCGGACACGGTTTTAGAAATTCGCCTTGGCCCTTCTCGTGCGCCAACAATGGCCGTCAAGTCCGCCGACAATGGGAAATAATAAACCGTGATAAATAGCTGAGCAAATACGCGCGCGGTGCGATCGCGGAGGAGCGATCTCGAACTCGCTCCTCGTCTCCGCCGTTCCCCACGTCGAATCCAGGTGCGGCCGCTCGAATTCCAAAATAAATACCCTCGGCAAATAGCATGCCGCGCAGAAGAACAAATAGCCTCTATTAATTTCCCGGTGCTTCGCGCCGGAGACAAGCGGCCTCTCGGCCGGGCGAAACGGCGAGCGAGATGCCGCGGAATCGCTCACCTGTATCGATAAGAGAATCACCACGGCTCACGGTCGCAATTGATCTGTCGTGTGTGTGTCGTTGAAAAAGTACGGCCGAGTTTTCGGGCGCGTTCAAATCGAGCCGGTAGATGGGAGGGTGCTAGTGAGACACGTCCGTCACGAGACGGCAGTTTCGGAGGGAAGAAACTTGAAGAGGCAGCACTAATCAAAAGTGGTCCACGGAGACAGATTGAGGGGCGTGCGTGAAATAAATCAGTCTTTTGTTTTACAGCCCTAAAACGGCCGTTGGGGATGTATGCAGCGCGAAGTGACGTCCATTCATTAAAGCGCCCCAGCTGCGAGATCGAAAAGGCTCCCGGCGCCGATTCAACGACTCCGCTGCAGCGCGATTAAACAATCGGACATTGTATGAGCGACGTTATTTATGAGAGGTGAGCTTATTTATTGTTATTATTATTATTATCATTATCATACGAGGTATGTAAATTTTATCGCGCGCACGTATCGTGCGCGTGTCGCTTACGAGGTTGCAGCAACTCGAGAGAGAGAGAGAGAGAGAGAAAGAGAGAGAGAGAAAGAGAGAGAGAGAGAGAAAGAGAAAGGGGTTGAGGACAAATATTTTGAAAGAGAAGTTATTTAATGACCAAGACACCATTGTGTCAAAAAATCTGCCTCGAGTAACGAGGTCTCTCAAAAATCTACCCCCGATAGAATCGATTTCGCGCACTGACGAGTCACCGCCGAAATTCAGAAAAAAAATGAAGACTGCCTTGGATTTCTCTTTGTATTGAAACGCAGGGAATAAAACTCGGTAACCTCCTCCGTTTTCTGAGGATTCCGAACGAAAAGCCAAACTGCGATTAATCTAGTCGAGCATCAGCGATTTCTGGCTGCATACGGAACAAAAAATATTCGCTTCACTGATTTTCTGTTGTCGGGGTCCGGACGAAAACTCGATTGCAGAAACGGTGAGATTCCCCGCTGCTCTCAGTCTCGACTGTGTTCCCGGTTATCTCAGCCGCCGAGTCTCAGCGCAGCCGAATGTTCGCGGACGAATGTTTTCGGCCGCGGTGACGAAAATACCGATTTCTCGTCGGCGAGAAGTTTTCGTAACTGCGAGATAAATTCTTGTTTTTCCATAAGCGCGGCGTCGCGCACGGACGCCGCTATTTCCCATGCTTTCTAGCCCACTCGCGTCATTTATCGGCGCGTTGAAAACACAGGTTCCACTGCGAGAAGCAAAATTTACTCGCCATGATAACGTATCTGAGGACGTGCGAACGTCGGCTAGTGTCGTGGAGAAGAGAGTGCCTCGGCGGAGTGCACTCTGACACGACATTCCGCAGATACGACTTGTCCGTGATGAGGTCGTTTGACGTTCGCCGTCGTCGCTTTTCACCCGGCTGGGCGCGAGAATAGTTATCGCGAGCGACGCGAATAGTCCGCTTCGAATTGTCATCGTAATTCGCCAAGCTCGTCGTCGCGGTGCGACCAGCGCGAGGAGCAGCCGCGGTCATTTGACACACACAGTGGCAGCAACAACATCGCTAGTGACAACAGTCGCGTGTCACTGCAATTTCGCGAGAAAAAATCCGCGAGTGATAAAGCGGCCGTCGCTTATGTTAATTAAATTCGCCGCGGGCACTTTTATCGCGCAGATAAGACTGACTCGCGCTTAATTTGCCGTCCGTTATTTGTAATTCGAGATATCTAGCTGACACTCGAGAATCTCTCTCTCTCTCTCTCTCTCTCTCTCTCGAAAATATTCTCAGTGCGATCGCGCGACAATGAGACCGATTTCTGCTGTTGATCGGCCGCAAATGGAAGAAGACGATCGTGCGGATAAATTGCAACTTTGTTGAGCGCGACGCGCGATAACGACTTGTTGTCGAAGCGCTCGCTCTGGGCGCGGGCGGCCGGATGAAATCCGACCGGATGCGATTCGTAAAAACCCGCGCAATGTGGAGTGCAAATTTTCCAAGAGCGGGTAATCGCGCGCAATTCAGTACCACGACAACGTCGGCCGCTCGTAAGTCGCGATTGTTGTGTGGGTAACACAAAGTATTGTAACTAAAAATAGTACACGGCTATAATCTAAGCGTCATTAATAAGATCTTATGAATCATACGCGTTATATATAGAAGAAAACACACGTCGACCATACATGTGCTATAACTCAGATACATCTGAGCCGTCTGATGGAACGCTATATCGGTCGGCAAAGAGTATTAAAGAATCAAATCTCGGAAATTTCGACGGGAATCTCGAGCTTCCATCCGTTGCAATTCCGCCGATCGTCGGAGAAAAAAATCGCATTATTAACCAAATTTCGAATTTCTCTCAAATTTCGACGGAGAATTTCTCCGTTCGCATTGCAGTCCCGTCAACTGTTAGCGAGGCGATTGATTTTAATTTTTTTTTTCGAATTTCACGTTTCACGTTAAGTGTTATAAAAAAAGGCCACGGTAGAGACAAAAAACTCGTCGCGTGCAAGGAACCCGATTCTCACTCGAGCGCAACGAGCAGTTTATTCTTGCGCTTGATTTCAGCACACTTGATAATTTTCCTATTATTTTCCGCAAAGTGGACGTCGCGTTCCGCTCGACGAGAGACCGACGACGACGTCGCGCCGACGAATCCTAGCGTGTGACGAGCGCGTGCAGGATGAAGAAGTGCCGATAAAGTATAATTATTGCGCGGGCGCGGGTCAATAGTCCGCCACGTTGCCTGGCGACGGTATTCCTACTCTGAGCCTCCGGAACAACCGGCGCGAAGTGCTCCTCTTCCTTCTCCGGCTGCTCCAGACTCCGGACAGAGGCTGGCCAGTCCGCCGCACGACGCTACGAAGAACGCGAAGACGAGGAGATCTTGTCTTCCGACCACTCTCAGTGGCAGACTTCTTACGTCATTGTCGTCGCCGCCGTCGCTGTCGTCGTCGTCGTCGTCGTCGTCGTCGTCGTCGTCGTCACCGTCATCGTTTCCCTTCGCGCTCGGGGAGCCAGCTAAGTACGACTTCCGCCTGCTTCTCTCGATCCGCTCGAGATCGCGTCCAAGTTTTCGCGCGGGAGCTTTCAAATACCACGTGTGAAATATCTCCGTCGTGCGAAAAAAAAAGAAAAACGAAACGGTGCGACTGCCTTTCGAGTGCCATACACGCCTTTCCATGTTCCTCGCAGCGATGAATTATCGCCAGACGAAGTCAACCGAAAGCCCATTCTCGCCCGCTGGAAGCGGGAGCGGTGCTACGCGACGAAAGAGGGACGAGTCCGCGAGGAACGCGCCCACGTCGACGGACGATAGATCGCACGTGGCAAATTCCACGAGGACCGCGTCCGGACGTTGGCCGTCATGGGCACCATCGATCAACTTCGAGAAGTTCTGCGGCTGCAAAGTGAGCGACGTGTCGAGCTTTGAGAATTTCACACGGTTCCTCTATCGCCCGACCGATCCGGCAAGTCTGGGAGTGGCCAGAGCTCTATTCGGTAAATGGACGTGTTGTAAATGTAACGTTGTGGGTACGATTTCTTTTTCTTTTTTTTTTCAACCGGCTACCTCCCCCCTCCCCCTTCCCCCACAGATATATACAAATATTGCTAAAACACCGGCGAGATCAATCGCGGGGTTATATACGAATAATTCTTTTCTGTTATATGCAAGAAGGTGAAATTTGGCTGAAATTACAAATCGGAAGTTTGAAAGCGAAGATTGGAAATTAGAAGACACAAGGAGGTTTCGAAATACTTGATTGGCATTTTGTTAGTGTTCGAAATGATTAATGTCCATTTTCGATTAGCCAGACGGTTGGAGAGAGCATTCCGCAAATCCGTGCGCAGACTCGTCGCTGGTGACACATAATTTAATCCTACTCGCCGCAACACTTTATAAACGGGGAGTGGGGAATTTGAATCGTAATAACTAGACACAATTTAAGACCTATTAAAGCGGTCATGAGGATTAATGGCTTGAACCAATGAAAGCACGACCGTGATTCTATCTCGCTCGTAGAAAAAGTGAAGCCCGGTATTCACGGTGTTCCTCTTCGCTTGATAATGCCCGCCCTAATTATATCTTAATCATCGCTAAACGCTGGTATTAAATCCGCCTTAAAAAGCCGCGGAGGCGACTCCTTCTCGCAAGTCTATTCAATTCGAATGCAACCCAAACAATTACAATTTCACCCAATTCACACGCTGCTCTGCATCGGCGAAAAGTGTTTTCCGTCCGCCAAGAAAAATTTCTAGAGCTCCTTTAGAGATCCTTTCCTTAAAGAGAGATTTCTTTTCGACGATGATAGGAAAGATCTAAAGACTTCTTAGATTTCAAAGAAAGGAAATATCTGGATACTTCCTGTAAAAATTTCCCTTTCAAAGAGAGCTCAAATTTCTTCGACACAGAAAGGATAAATTTTCTTCTTGGAGGCAGGAAAAATATCTAAAGACTGTCAGAAATCTCAAAAGAAGGAAATATCCTTTAGAGACGCATTTTAGAGAGACGACTGATTTCCTTTTGAAACGGATCCGAAAATTTTCCTCAAATCTCGAGAAAAGGAAATGCCCGGATCTCCGTTCTTCGAAGTCATCCAATTGTCACGATATCGTAGACTCTAAAGACTCCAACAGCAGAGCTCGAGCAGATTGTCTTTGCAGGTCTGTGCATGGTGATAGACGTCGTCGAGGAGAGAGGATTCGCGAACATCGACATCAAATGGGGCGACCCATGGGAATGTCACTTCCCGTTGATCCACGGGATGAGGCCACCGTCGTTACCATGGATGATTATGCTGTACACCGTGATGTGGATTGGCGCCTTCGGGATCGCGCTGGGTCTGCGCTTCAAGCTCGCGTGCGCCTGCTTCGCCCTGCCCTACTGGTACATCTTCCTGCTGGACAAGAGCTACTGGAACAATCACACCTATCTGTACGGCATCGTGGCGATCTTGTTCTGGGGCACCGGGGCGGACAAGTACTTGTAAGTTACGCAGTTTACGAGAGACGTGCAAGAAACGGAGAGTGGAAAAAGGAAAGAAGAGAAAGAGTCGAGCGCGACTGAATATTAATTGACTCGCGTGTCCGTAGCGCGCTGGATGCGAGCAAGGCGAGACGGCGCGACGGCAGCGTGCCTTACTGGAACTACTTCATCCTGAAGTTTCAGTTTTTCGTGCTTTACTTCTTAGCCGGCCTGAAGAAGTCCAGCCGGGAGTGGCTCGAAGGCTACGCCATGACCAACCTGTCTAGACACTGGGTCTTCTATCCTTTCCAGTAAGCGGCGTGCGAAGCGACAAAAAACGCATACCGAATCATGTATGATAATAAGAGAGCGCATCACGCGAAGCAAAAAGCTTCTTCTATCGTAGACCCTGTGTGAAATCACATTTCTGCAACGCGTCGGCTGTCCGGCTGCCCAGCGAAATCTGTCCAATCACGTGAACGCGGAGAGACATCAGCTTTTTACGGAGAAACCGTCCAAATAATACGAAAATAATATCCTTTAAATAAAAGCCGGAAACCTTTTTCTGTGTTGACTCCATGTAAGTTGATGATGACAGATGATCGAAGCAGCCGGCGTGTCAGATCCGCGTGTAAAATCAACTGCATGAGTGCTGGAGTCTTTCCAAAAGACAAGACGATTCGTTTCGGCAATAACGCAATGCGACACGAGGAGAATAACAACTCTTCCTCTTGCAGTTTCTTTCTTACCACCGAGCAGACGGACTTCCTGATCGTCCACTGGTTTGCCTTCGTCTTCGACTTGTCCGTCGGTTTTTGGATGCTGCTCGAGAAAACACGAATACCAGCCATGGTACTTTGCACAGCTTTTCACTTAATGAACACGAGGCTATTTAGTATAGGTAACTAGCACCCGAAGTGAACACAGTCGGCAAGACTTGTGTTAGTCGGCCGTGAGAAACACCATCGAGGATCCCTCGCATCCTCCTTCAGAGGGAACACGGGAGAGACGAAGGTTTTTCACGAAGAACGCGCTTTTAGGGATGTTCCCGTGGGTGTGTCTGGCGACGATGCCGCTATTCTGCCACGTAGATTGGCCACGCAAATTGGGACTTTGCTTCGACTGGCGTCGGAAGGTTTCCGCTGCTGATGGCAGCTCGATCGACGATCGATCGAAGGTATCCTCGAGGTCCGATCGCTCTGGGTCGTCTTCGAGCGAAGTCTTGGACGATAGAGCGACGCACGAAGGTGAACAATTTTTTCTAATCCGATGAAATAATTTACATTTTGTACGGAGAATTATGGGCTGAAATATTCGTTTCCTCCATTCGCAGGTAAAAAAGAAATAGACCGAGATTATTTTGCTGAGCCGGAAGCTGAAGAAGAAATTGACGGGGGTGACGACAACACGCGGCTACCTACGGATTCGACCGAGCCCAGTGAAGAAGAAGAAGAAGATGTAAATGTTCGCGAAAATATTCCAGGGGCTCGACGAACGACGAAGGTCACGAGGAAGCAGAAGTTCGTGGTGTCCATGTTGCTGTGTCACATCGCGCTGCAGTTCTTCCTGCCGTATTCGCATTTTATATCGAAGGTATTCAACTCGTAGAAACGTTCTTTTACGTTGTTCATTAATTATTAAACTGCAGTAAGGTCGTATGTAACTATGTCAAATTAAAAATATATTTTAAAATTTATATTTTCTCAAATCACTAATTTCGTAGATAGTATTTTAAATTATCTTTTCATTCAAAGATGTAGAAAAAGGAGCTGGTTGTAAATCGTGAACATTTTGCCAGATAACCTCAGAAACACGAAAATCTAAAATCCCTTACGTCGAGATAAAAAAAATGTATCCATAACGAGAGTCTTAACGTCGAAAAGTTTCAGCCGTATATTTCACTTTCAGCCGAAGTTACAAATCCGTTGGGTTGCTTTACCCTTCGGTTGTTTTTCTTGTAACTATCCTGTTACATTCCAGGGTTACAACAATTGGGTGCCAGGACTATATGGCTATTCGTGGGACATGATGGTCCACGCCTGGGACACCGTACTGGTGGTCATCAAGGTGCACGACAACGTCAACAACAAAGTCCGATACTTGGACCCTGAAGCGTGGGTGCAGAGCGACCGGTGGGTGAGACACGCGGACATGGCATTGCAGTATTCGCAATGTATGAAGGTAAGATTCCAACAACCTCAGTCGCTCGTCGCTCATCTTCGTTTGATCAGGAGGCTCGCAGGAGTTTGTCAGATTTCCAGCCACATATCTCCGATTAATCGCTTCTGCCAAGCTTATCTCCATCTCGCCATATGAAATATTACATCGGTTCGCTCATATGATTGCGCAGGACAACCTGATGCGCCGGAAAGAGAAGGCTCTGAGCGACAGCCGGCAAGCCGAGGAGAAGCAGATGTGGATGAAGCTATCCGCGAACTTGAGCATCTACATAGACGTGTGGTGCTCGCTGAACGGCAGATTTCAGCAGAGAGTTTTCGACCCGCACGTCGACATGCTGACGGTCGACTGGCATCCCTTCAAGCCGGTTTCGTACCTGATGCCGTTACTCACGCAGTACAATTCGTATCGGTGTGTCCAGGCATATAAATCACTAATTCTGTTGCATCTTCAGTTGTTCAACATGTAAAAGTTGCCGAACGCGTTCAATTGGCGATGCCAATAATTAACTTCGTCGATCGAATAATCAGCGGGCAATGTATCACCTGACACATTTGATCCGTGTAAAAGAAAATATAAGAAGCTATAATTAGCCTCTATTATAACCGTTTATTACGCCATGTAACTTTAAGCAAAAAAGTTACATATCCATACACCTATATCTTTGAAGTCTGATTTCGTTTGCTTATTGTTGCGCGTGTACAAACAATTTGTGTTTATTAGCTGTTTTTATTTTTTACGTCACAGAGTATTGTCCGAAGATATTCCACAAATTAAAATTTCGTGAATTGTAAAATTCACAAATTAATTCAGTTAATGTTTGACATTTTTATATTTTATTGTTTTGTTTAGTAAAAAAGGGGATCGGGTTACAGAGGATAATTAGGCACTAACTTGAAGTCTGACGGATTCCAGATACGAAATGGAGAAGATCCTGCAGCACGTATATACCTGGTCGAATTATACGGACGTGTTGTTCGTGGCCGATTTTCCGGGCATGTATCTGGAGAACTACATATCCACCGACTTCACCAACATCTCTTTGACCGTGCTGGAAGGTGAAGTGACTTACGTGGACGAGAAATCGCCGGATTCGACCACCGTGCTGAAGGGTAAATCGATACCGGTGAAAGCCGGGATGTTTCATCGAGTGAAGACGACAAGCTCGTATCCAGCATGTTACATGTACACCTACACCAATCGGACGCAACAATCGGAAAACAGCGAGAGGTGAAGGCGCGCGTCAAGCCGCAAGTTATTCAGCCAGTTTCACGGTTAATTTATGTGTCTGGTTATCATTAATTTCTCTTTTCTTTTTCCAGAAAAACGCCTCCTCCGGCCATAAACGATACGCTGCCGCTACTGAAGGAAGTCAATTACAAGATCAATGCGTGGACGAAAGCGCTTTCTCACATAACAAATGCCTTCTTTCATCTGGCGTATGGCGTACCTATGGTACGGCGAGTGCGCATCAACAAATAACGTGTCATTTAAATCTGTCGATTAAACAATTAACTGAACAAGCTGGAGATTTGTGCATCAGCATCTTATTGGCGCGCTTCTTAGTTTTATTCCATATTTTGCCAAATCCTTTTATTCTGTGCAGTCTTCAAAGAAAAAGAATTCACGTGTATGTTAAATTTGATTGCCGAAGGGCGCAACAGTGTGATAATCCTGAAGAATAGAAATCGCCTTCACGTTTTATAAAGCATCATTCGAACGAGAGACGAAAATACTAAAACGAACTGTGAAATGTTTCTCAAGCGATTATAACAATTATCTTTTGAATAATCGTAAAAAATGTACGCACGCGTAATAAAAAAATATATGAATATACATGTGTAAAGTACGTATATGGTACATATTGTTATCATAGGCAAACAATGTAGCAAAGAAATTTCTATTATTTTTCTATATTACCATGTAGCATGTGATATAAAGAAACCTAGTGATTTGTACGATTCTCGTTATGAATCGTAATGTGATAGAATCTATTGTAACTTATTAATACTAATGGGAGAACTGCTAATCTAGCGTCCAATTAATTTCGATATGTGATTCACCAGCGAATCAGTTTGAAAGTGAAAATGTTATACACTTTATATGTACTGTTTTGAAGAAAATGTATGATATATATATATATATATAACAAAATTATATAACGGTCGACGTGTCTTATTGCTTTAATATAATTAGCAAGTCATTCCTTATAACACTGTATGTACGTTCTGTTTTTTTTAATATATGACAAGAATGTATACTTAGATGTGTATGTGTGCTAAACCAAATATTCGACGCATACCGATTATACTTGCAAAAATAAAAATTTTATATCATTAATTATATTATATCATTAATTTATATCATTTATTTATATATATATATATTTATATCATTAATTTATCATATATTGATATTAATATAAATTATATTTACGCTCATGCATAAATAATCATATTTATCGTTTCTTTAACATTATCAAATGACATATCAAATGCTCCAAAAAATATTTATACATATATATAAATATTTAATATACTTAATATATATAAATTTATAAATATATATAAAATGTGTGATAAAATTATGATATAACGATAAATATAATTTCCTTGACGAAAGAGAGAGAGAGAAAGAGAAAAGACAGAAACAGAAAATCTCTGACTTGTTATTGAATTTCTCTTTTCTTTTTTATAAAAAACTCTATCTTGCCTGATCTAATAAATACTGTAGACCCTTTATTAATCCATTAAAATAACGGAACAATAACTCTCATACTTTTTATTTAAGCAAATTTGTTCAATGCGATTTGGGTCTTGACTAAATGTAAATCGACTGAAATAAATATAACGAGAGACGCGATAAAATGTGAACCGAATTTTGATTAATTTTATGGGGCAATGTTAATTGTGGTTTGAAGATCGGCATATTGTAATTCGAATTTTGGACACCGACGAGGTAATATCAGAGAGGAACGTGAGAGCGGCCAACACGTGTTTTCGACAACACCGATTTTCCGTACTGGGAAAGGGCGCCATCTGCGTCCATTTTGAGAGGGGAACTACGATACTACATCCACTTTCAGGTTTCGGCGGTAAAACCTGTATGTGGTGGCAGTCCGTGCTACATCCATTTTTAGGCGGTTTATGTCTGTGCTACAACCATAATAGCGTACTTGACAAGCACAGTCTCGCACATTGTTACGCGTAACATGAATTAACATGTTAACATGTGCAAGAAAAAAGAATTGACATTGTGTATAATTAATATCATGAAGATCATACGAAGTGTCCGGTAATTAGCTGCCAACCCGAAGTGTGAGGGTAGATTGGGTTGAGACAAATATAAAAGTCCCATACCGTTTTGCGAGATGCGCAATAATTATCGAGTTATTAATGACAGAAATTTGAGGAGTAAAAGCGCGCCGATATAGATGATTCGAAAAGCGTTGCAGCTGCTCAGGGCAGCGATCATGAATCTTTTCCCTAGCGTGAACTAATAAAAAGTGAAAGACTTCTGTGAATCAGTGAAAAATGAAAAATTTTATATGAATTTGTGAAAATCGAAACATTTCCTGCGACCGAAGGCCGCTGTGGTTCAAAGTTAAATTGTAGCAACAGTATTGTTATCGGGCAGCCGGCATCCGTCCGTGACGTCTGCCGTGCGCCTTTGCGATTACCGGTAAATTCAGTTTTTTCGATTACTCGCGCGATTTCAAGTGGCCATAATATATGGCGAGAATGCATGGCAATATATGGCAATAATATATGGCAATAATATACGGCAACAATATATGGCAACAATATATAGCAACAATATATGGCAACAATATATGGCAATAATATATGGTCATAATATATATAATATATGGCAATAATTCATGAAATATATTTTTCGTTACTAAAGTCAATGCAAATTTGCGGCATGCACAATGTAATAATAAATAAGCTCTCTGCGAGCATTGAGTCAGACACTCACTGATGATGATATTGATGATGCCCTGTTGCATCCAACCAGATCCACCAATGTTCGTCCATGTCCGCTGCCGCTCTCCATGTCGCGCAGCATCCATCTTGCAGCGCGTCCCACGTTGATTGCTACACTTTCGCGACGCGGTCGATACTTGTATTAGAGCGGCGATATTTGCGTCAATTAACGAACGTTTTACGTTGTTACCGGTGGAAACTTTTTGCGCGCTGCGAAACGGACTCTATAAACTTGATCGGCGAGGAGCAAAAACCGTGTGAAAATTTACCGACTCGTCCAACGGATTTTTACTGCGCTTTCCGCGATCGCGTCTGAAAAGTCGCGAAAATGTGGGAGTATCGATATCTACGAGTAAAATATTCGCGACGCGAATGCACGCGAGGAAAGATTAGACAATCAGAAACCCCGAGGGGTCGCCCCGAGGGAGCGCAAAGGGAGCAAAGTTTTCACGTATCGTCCGCATTCGCGCATAGCTCCGTCACGACAAAGTTTACTTCGTTCGCGATACTTTAGCGAAATGAGAATTTAAGCTTTCTTTGTTAGCAGCGCGGGTAAAAACGCGTATTTTGATAACCGAGGTCGCGATATTCAAAGGCACGCGAGCGAGGATACCTCAAGCTCAGCGTGCGCTGGCGCAATTTCTGCGCGCATTATACGCTACTCGAGACAATAGGGATCATGATGAATGAACAATATTGCCAAATAATTCTACAGCCTGTTTTGCAAATAAAAGAAAAGTAACCAACGGTATCGGCATTTATGCGTATGAATATATTTTACACGGACAATTGAATATTGTCAAATAGTTAAATCGTTAAATAATTCTGCGGCCCGCTTGAAAAATGAAAATAAAGCAGCTAATGACTGTATCGCGTTTGTAGATATGAACATCTCTTATTCAGATGACCGAACAAGAGAGAATCCGACCGATCAAAAGAGAATCATTCGGTGCTTTAAATCTCGCACGTAATGCAGGCTATTGATTAAGTAATCCCCTGATTGTTTCGAGTAATGTATTTTATTCAACGTCACAAACACACACATGCAAGAATCTATTTGCAATTTGCATTGACTCTAACGATATTTTTTAGTCCCACACCCGTCATGCAGAATTTTGTTTCTCTTTTTATTTTGACTCACCGAAACGACTTGCAGTCAGAGCCGGCCACGTTCCGCTTCAACTCTGTAACAAAAAATTCACATTCGCTCATTAGATTTGACCAACGAGTGCGGGTGAGTAAAAAAGTAATTTACCCTCTGCGATCTTAATTCAAGTCGAGTCGGAAATTATATCCCAGCTCTAGATCGCCAAGAGTCAAACAGAGGACTATTGTAAACTTGTAAACTTACCTTCAAGCCGACTCTGCTTGGCCCGAATCGGATCCTCCGATGCGGCATCCCGCGTCCGTCGGATTGCTGTTGCTTTTCGCAACAACTGAAACAGAAAAATAATTTTCCCGGTTAATAACCTGCGGTAGAGAGAGAATATCTTTGATCGGGACGAATCGAAAATACGGAAATATTTGATAAAGAATTTTTATCTTTATATTTTTGTTCCAACATTAAAAATTTAAATGAGACTTAAAGCTTTCAAGAGAGCTGATGAGGACCAAGTTGCAGAGGCAAAGATCGTAAAGGGTTGAATACAGATGTGTAGGAAAAACTTGTAAACTTTACCTTCCGACCGACTCTGCTTGGCCCGAACCGGATCCTCCGGTACGGCATCCGCATCTGCCGGATTGCTGTTACTTTCCGCAACAACTGAAACAGAAAAATAATTTTCCCGGTTAATAACCTGCGGTAGAGAGAGAATATCTTTGATCGGGACGAATCGAAAATACGGAAATATTTGATAAAGAATTTTTATCTTTATATTTTTGTTCCAACATTAAAAATTTAAATGAGACTTAAAGCTTTCAAGAGAGCTGATGAGGACCAAGTTGCAAAGGCAAAGATCGTAAAGGGTTGAATACAGATGTCTAGGAAACTTGTAATCTTTACCTTCCGACCGACTCTGCTTGGCCCGAACCGGATCCTCCGGTACAGCATCCGCATCTGCCGGATTGTTGTTACATTCCGCAACAACTGAAACAGAAAAATAGTTTTCCCAGTTGATAATCTGCGGTAGAGAGAGAATATCTTTGATCGAGACTAATCGAAAATACGGAAATATTTTGATATGGGATTTTTATCTTTATATTTTTGTTCCAACATTGAAAATTTAAATGAGACATGAAGCTTTCAAGAGAGCTGATGAGGAACAAGTTGCAAAGGCAAAGATTGTAAAAAGTTGAACACAGATGTGTAGGAAATTTGTAAATTTTACCTTCCGGCCGACTCTGCTCTGCTCGAACCGAATCCTCCGGTGCGGCATCCGCATCTGGCAGACTTGCCAGATTTGCTTCCCGCAACGTCTGGAACAAAAATTTAGCGTTTCTGGTTGGTAAGCTGCGGTAGAGAAAGAATGTTTGGTCGAGATGAGTGGAGAATATTCGCTACGGTTTTTTTTCTTTATTGACATTGAAAGTCTAGATAGAACTTGGAGCTCTTGAAAGAGCTGACGAAAAAAATGACAACAAGAAGCGGAGACAACAGTTGTGTGCTCTCGAAGATACTCTTTTACGAATGGACATTTAAATTTAGATCCCGCAACGAAAGTAAACAGACTTGAAAGAAGTGCCGACCGAAAACAAAAAAGGTCGCAGTCTAAGAAGAGCGGTATGACGTTGAATATTCTACACAAGACCGGTATACTCACACAGTTAGGAATTATTCAGAATGTTTAATTGAGAACATGATGAATTAGAGAATCCGCGTTCATGGACCGTTATCCGTCTCTGTCTGGATCAATATATCTTATATATGCTACGGTTAAAGTGATAAATTGGTTATTATGCATAATAACTAACAGCTTTGGTTAATGTGATAAAATACATGCAGTTTATCACTATAACCGATTATTTTACATAACCAAACTTTATTGGTTAAAGTGATAAATGATATTTAGAAAATGATTTTGGGGAAACTTTTGAAAACCAGTTATGTCCAATTGTCATGAATATTGGCAGAAATACTCCAAACGATATCAAAATGTTACAAAG